CTCAGTTATAAGTCGCTTCCCTATGCTCTCACAATTTGTTTGGCATGAAAAAAAATAGATGAGAGGGGAAAATATTAAGTGTTTAATTTTTTTTTAAAAATGGAGAAGTAAGGTTACACGATTTTTTCTTTTCTTTTTTTTTTTTACTCTTTTATCTTACATGTTTTCCTTATTAAAATTTTATAACCACATTTCTTCAACTTTTAAATCGAAATTATTAAAATTAAAACCTTTATGTGGCTGTTTGATCAAGTTAAGGCATACATAGCATAATTATGGCTTCGAAGAGGATCGAATACATAAGCTATTTATACCTTTGGATGTAGTGAAATAGAGGATTCCATGCACTTTAATATGGGAGTCTATATAGACGGATTGAAAACAAGTGTAAGAATTAGAATGAGATCTTAAGAGGACCTGTCTCTTGTAATCCTAAAGACAAGAAACTAGACAGACGACATGACTTCATGACCAATAATTATATTATCTGAGCTATGTTGATCTAGTACAAAGCTGTATTGCTTTGGGCTTATCACTTGTGAAATGATCCCCTTTAGCCTGTCTACCACCATATTTGTGGTAATTTTAAAAATAACTTTACAAAGACTGATAGGTCGTAAATTTTTCAACTCTTCAGGATGTTCTTCCTTTGGGATTAACACAAGGGAAGTATCATTGATCTCTGCAACCTCAGTTGGTTGCTCCTAAAATTTTCAAATGTAATCACACATTGAAGCCCCAACATGACTCGACTGACTTTGAAAGAATAACATATTTAGCCAATCTGATCTAGCAGCTTTTAGGGCCCCCATGTTAATATCATCTATCAACCTATACAGGTATCTCAAATCATCTCCCCCTCAATCCGAATAGGCACATGTGCATGCAAGCAATGTCTATTCTCTTTTCTCATCTTTAAACAAAACCAAGAAGAAGTTAATTGCTAGTCTTTTTATCTATTGTTGGTCATAGACCCAATCATCGTTACCATCTTTTATGGCCCCACAAAATTTCTTTTCCTTCTTCCATTTGCACGATTATGAAAATACTTGGCATTTTTATCCTCACTCACAACCCAATCCATTCTAGCTTTCTAAGTCCATATTAATGATTCTTAGAGCATTACCTCTTCTAACTCCTTCTAGAGAATCTACTGTAGATCTTTAAGTTCATTAGAGAGATTGGTATGCACTTCTACTCATATTCTCTTGTTCAAGTGTTTTTATGGTATTCCTTTTTCTTATGCCAGTGAAGTCAAAAGTATGTTTGTTCCAAACTTTGCAAGCCTAAAATTGATGCATGTTCTCTCCACTTACTTCCATTGTTCTAGTTCTCCTTTCCATAGTGAACTCAACATGTAAAATTCATGCTACAAGGAATTGGAACAGTCACTCGTCATTTCATCTCATTAAACAACCATCAAGTCATAACAGTAAATGCCAGTGGTTTGATTTACACCAAGGTAAGTAAGTCACCAAATTATTGGGGAACACATCAATGCACTCTAGTGATCCCAAACATATATCTATTTTGCTTTCTACACCATCGCATGAACATAAATTTTGGTCTAATAAAATCAAGATCATGTAGCTCCACTTCATCCATAAGATCTATGAAATGCTTGTAAGGGTCCGTTTGTGGATATTACAATTTTTCATCATACCATGAGTGTGGCGTTAAAGTCGCCTCTCAAGCACCATGCATCTAGAGTATTTTCACGCATCCTCCTTAGGTCTCTCCAAAGCTCCTTTCTTCTAGATGCCACCGGGCTCACATATATGTTTGTCATGTACCAGGTCTAGTACTCATGGTTTATAATTTGAACATGGATAAATTGTAAAGATTTTTCTACTATCTCCACATGCCTTGCTGGTTCATTCCACAGGCACCACAATCCTCCTCTACACCCCTCTGTATCCACTATTTCAAAGAGAGGAAATCCTAGTTTTGCAACTATTTGTACTGTCTTTGCCTATTGCTTTTGGTTTCGACAAGGATTAGATAGTCTAAATCATACCAAGTGGGCAAATGGATTTCGAGTTGAAAATATGAATCTAGTACTGTTACAAGTCATTTGTCATGGTGGATTGCACAGATTAATGAAGTGTGCGTTATGATCCTCTGGTCCTTTTCTATCATTTTTGGAACGTTCCTTAGTCCTTTACAACAATACCTTTGGTTCTTAGTTGTCATTTCCAAATTTTGAGTTGACATTCTAAATGATCTGCAAGGAAATTCAACCAGTTGTAATATCTAGAATTCTAAAAAGGAATGCAAATAACGACTAACGAGTGATCACAACAATAGTGACCAAAATGCCCTTGAATAAACTAAAGTGATGCAATTACTCAAAACTTCTAACTAACTAGATTAAAACTAATTAAGACCTATAAAACTCAACAAAAACACTACTAACAACCTAAGTTAAAACGCGAACAAATGAAAATATCACTCCCTAACCAGATCACTTACTGTCAGTTGCTTGTTGATTCCATCCTCATTGTTTTGAGCGTCTCTTCTTAGGGTACCCATCAGTCAAACCAGACATTTGTTTGTTGTCCCCCTCTCACTTCTATCTCTTCACGAAACGCCTCCATTTTCACCAATTCTTTCCACAACCAGGAATCACTTGCCTTTGCTACAATTTTTCTTCCCTCTTGTTCATCCCTCTCATATATCCCTTTTAAGATATGAACCCACATATCTTCTGGTTGTTTTCGCATCCTCCACTGTAACCTCAATAGAAAAGTGTCATTCATTGTTTTCATGTATCGAATACCCACTCCACTTTTCTCTTTTACTTTGCACATTTGATCCTCTGCAATAGCATGCCATCTCCTCTTGCTTCCTTGTTCTCTCTATATAATCTTCCTCTGCTCTTGTTCAATTTCATCAACAACTTCTTGCAATAATCTATCATGTTGCATAGGGTAAATAGACATTGAGCTTGTTATTGCTTTTACCAAAGTGATTCTTACTACCGTTGATAGACTTGATGCTTTCCATTCACTTAGCCTCTTTCTTACCCCCTTGAGCATATTCTTGTATTTATTTTTTCTGCGTCACAGAAAAGATATTTCTACACCTAAATACCTTCTTATGTCATCCACTTCTTTAAATTGACAAATTCTACAAATTTCCTTCCTGATGTGTTGCACGACATTAGTTGAGAAATATATTTATGTTTTCTCATTGCTCACTTTGTGTCCCAATATTTTTCCAAGCACCTACATGCATTCCATTATAGTTTCAATTTGTTTAGTATCAACCTCTGCAAAAAGAAAAAAAACAGATTGTCACCAAACATCATTGGAGTAAAAATTGAGCCCTTACATCCCGCTTTCATTCCTCTCCATGTTCTCTCTTTGAGTGTCTAGTATGAGGTATGTAAGTTTTTTCATGCCGAGAACAAACGAGTAAGATGAGAGAGGATCGCCTTGCTAAAAACCTTATAAAGGATCAAATTCCTCCAATTTCTCCCCATTACCATAACAACCATGTCATTGTGATGCTTATACCTTTCATTATCATGTCGTTCATTCCACTCAAGCATTGAATTTCTTATAAGACTCTTCCCCTAAAGTTCCAATTCAATCTGTTATATGCATTCTCCAAATCAAATTTTATAGCCATAAATCCTTTCTTTCCTTGTTTCCTTCTCATAGAGCAGATCATCTCATTGGCAATGAGTACGTTATCATGGATATTTCGACCCAGAACGAGACTCACTTGGGAAGGTGAGACCAACTTAGGCATGAGTTTCTTGAGTCTCTTCACTATAATCTTGGGTAAGCACCTATAAACCACGTTGCATAATGAGATGGGCCACAATTGGCTAACTTTCTCTAGTGTCTCAACTTTTGGAATGAGGGTGATTAGAGTCTTGTTCATATCTCCAATTTTTTCAGTACAGAGCCACGCTTCCTTGACAAAGTCTCACACACAGTCCATTATCTCCCAGTTGCGTTGAAAGAATAGTGCTAGATAACCATCCTCCCCCAACGCTTTAAGCTTCCCAATTGTAAACATAGCCTCTTTAATTTCTTCATTAGTCATTAGCTTTTCCAACTCTTTCTTTTCTTCCTGGCTAAGCCTTTTTCTAACTATGCTTTGTGTTAAACCTCTCTCTATTATGTTTTTCCAGAAAGAGCCTTTATAAGGAGTTTCATAGTTGCACTAGCTCCTCTTTTCCTTCTATCTAGTTTCTTGCATGATTTTTTAAGGTGTGCACTTGATTCCTCCTTTTTCTTATCACTGTTTTAGCGTGATAAGAAGCTATATCTCACCCTCTATCATTAAGTCATTTTATCTAACTTTCTAGAACTAGATCACTTCCCTTGCTAATATTTTAGCCAATTCATCACCAAAATGATACTCCAAGTCCTTCAGATACTTCCTTGGTTTTTGTTAAAGGTATCCTTCTCATTAATGATTTTTTCTTCCTTATATGTCCGAAAACATTCTCTCTCTAGCTCTTTTTCGTATGCTATTTATCTTTTATTGTTTTTTTTTTTGTGCACATCATCTTTAAAGTTGCTTGGTGGCATGAAGATCCATTACTAGGTGAAAGTGGTATATGGAAGTTATTAATGGGTATGCAAAAACTTAAAAGGACATACTTAGAATTTACTACATGTCAAATTATCAATTTATCACCCTGCAAGGAAATTTACCGATTCAATAAATACCTTTCTGATTTTATTTCTTAGTCACTTCTGTCAAAACCAATAAAAACTTTGAATTTCATTAACTTTACATTAGAATTTATCAACCAACTTTTTCTCTATTTAATATATATATATATATATAACTTTCAAGAAAATAACAATCCACACGATAACAAATGAAAGGTAAAATAATACATTCACGCTACAATGATGTGATTTATAAATAGGACAAAAAAAATCTTTTTTTGCCTTGTAAAAATAAGTAGAGGAGACTTTTTTTTTTTTTAAAAGAAAGAATGTCCCCAAACTGCTCACCACTAATCCCACAAATGATTTCAGATAAAAATCTATGCAGCCAAAAATTTTACTCCTACTTCTAAACATATCAATGTCCATCAGTGTCCATTTTAACTTTACAAATCTTGTATGTTTTGCAGCCAATCTTACACTTAATACGTTTGAATTTATAGGTAAAAGCACATTTTTTAACAAATTCCTCAGTAGCATGGCTCTTTATTATTTCTTCAACCACTTTCTTCAGGGAATGACCAATGTCACCCAAAGCCCATGCTAAGGATATGTGAGGCCGAGGATCCTGAAAGAGAACATGTCCTCGTCCATAAATAGAAGAGTGCAAAAAAGACATAACATCACAAGTGATAAAACCACTGACCTTGTAGAACTCAGGGAGATTGTGAAGCTTATAAACACCATTGACAACTTCAATTTGCTTTGTTATCTGAAATGCATTAAAAAGCAAAAAATTCTCAGGCATATGTGTGCCAAAAAGTGAATTTCAATAAATGAATTTGTCGAATTCATTTTTCTGAGTTTGTTAACATCTTAGTCATCAGATTTACCCATTATGAGCCAGTATCATTCCAAAAGGAAAGACGTCCTTGAAACACTCTCCAAAAGAATTCATATATCTGAGGCTTTTCAATTTCAATTTTTAGCTTTCACTTTTTTGGCGTCACATCACAAAATGCATGATTTACGTGCAAATGACTACTAATACATTGAGTCTATATGCATTCCAACGATGCCATGCTCTTTCATGGCAAAAAGTAATACTGATAGAACTTGCGGTATTAACTTCAAATACAAGGATAAGATAGTACAGTTCCCCCTTCAATGAAGCAAGAAAGAGAGAAAATGTAGTAGGCAGGTCTGGAAACCCTAGTTCCGGTCTGAGATAACACTAGATAGTAGCAAAACAATCAGACAACATCAGACGTTAGAGGTCAGAGACTCTCCTAATCCTTCCACATGATACTTGTCTGCCTCCCTCAAGCACACAACCCTAGAAAACTACGATGGTTATTGGGCTGGGTATGGGCTGTGTTTGGGCCCATTGGTTGTGTCTGGTTGTTCTGGTCCATTTTGGACTTTCTACTACCATATACTATCCCTTTCATAGTGCTAGGTCCATCATTCGCCCCCTCTACAAGATTAACTTTGTCCTCAAGGGGAAAGGGAGGAAATTGCAGCTTGATAGTTTGCATATGTTCCTAGTTATTGTCACAATCCGGTAAATCACACCACTTGATTAGGATCAGTTTACTCCTATTAGTCATGGTGTGCACTTTCACAACATCTTGTGACTGAACCTGCAACTCATACTCCTCAGATAAGAAATTAGGAAGTAGTTGAACCTGCTATTTTTTAAGGTGTAAAACATAGAAAAAAGGGTGCATCCTAGCTATTTCTAGCAATTTTAGCTTGTAAGTAACCCTTCCAATCCTTTGAATGACCTCATAGGGCCCATAATACCTTGGTGATAGTTTCTCATGTTAGCTATTACCTAAATTTTTCAACTTATACAGTTGAATGTGCAAGTAAACTTGGTACCCCACCATAAACTCAACATCTCATCTCATTTTGTTGGCTTGCTGCTGCATCTTTAATTGAGCTTGCTCAAGACAAGACTGGAGAAGATACAGAACCTCAATGCACTCTTTAATATGCTCACTAATCTCTTCTACTTTTGAACCATCATCTTGCCACTTAAAAATAGTAAAAAGGTCTCGGCCACAAAGAGCCTTGAAGGGAGTGGTGTCAATTGACCTATTACGGGTAGTGTTGAACTAAAATTCAGCCCATGTTTGCATCTTTACCCACTTTTTAGGATATTCTCTAGCAAAGCATCTTAATATGTCTCTAAGCTCTAGTTAACAAATGAGTTTATGGATGGTAGCCCAAACTGTATTTAAGTGCTCTCCCTAATTGCTTGAACAACTCATGCCAAAATTGTCTAATAAACACCCCATCACGATCTGAAACTATTGATTTCAGGAACCCATGCAGCTTTGCCACCTCTTTAATGGAAACATCAGCCATATTACTAGCTGAAAAAGGGTGTGACAGAGGAGTAAAGTGGGCATGCTTAGTGAGGCGATCAACTATCACCATAATGGTATCAAGTCTGTTAGATATAGACAGCCCTATAATGAAGTCCATACTCACATCTTTGCATGCTTGTAAGGGAATAGGTAAGGGTAGTAGTAGCCCCATTGGACTAAATGCCTTATACCTTTTACATTGGCAAACTTCACGTTGAGATACTTGTTCTTGCACATCTTTTTTCATACCTTCCTAGTACACCACTTCTGCAAGCCTCTTGTAAGTTCGTAGATACCCCAAATGCCCACCTATTGGTGAATTATGAAACTCTGTGATCGGTATCCTACTGAAACTTTTTCATAGGTAGGATTCTTTGCCAAATATCATATAAGTTTTCCTCTTTAGCTACCTTGGTCTCAAATTCTTCAATATCAGTGTACTGCCATAGTGAAAATGCATTAAGAGCAACACCATGGCTGTCTCATTGAGATAAAGCATCTGCATCCCTGTATTTTTTCCCAATTTATAGTTTATCTCAAAATTATAGCCTATTAACTTCAATACCTAGCTTTTCTGATCAGATGCAATAATACACTGCTCTAGCAAATGCTTAAGTGCTTTTTGATCCGTTCTTATGATGAAAGGCTTGGCAGCAAGATAGTGCTGCCATTTCTTCATCAAGAGGTGCTGCTATTTTTCCATAAACTTTAATAAATTTTCTATAGTATCCAATGTACCTTAAAAAATCCTCTCAAGCTCTTGATATCCTTGGGAATAGGCCACTTGACCATAGCCTCAATCGTAGTCAGGTCAGCTTGCACTCCTTGAGCTAAAATGATGTGACCAAGATACTCCAATTTGCTCTGTCCAGAAGCACTTCTTGGGATTCATAACTTTCTCATGCTGCTGCAAAATCTGTAAGACCACCCTCAAATGCTCCAAGTAAGAAGCTTCATCCTTGCTATACGCCAATAGATCATCAAAAACAGACTAGCACAAACTTTCTCACGTAGTCTCTGAAAATGTCATTCAATAATGATTGAAAAGTAGACAATGCATAGGTAAGCCCAAAAGGCATAACCAGAAATTCATAATGGCCATCATGAGTTTGGAAAGCAGTATTGTGTTCATCCCTGGACTTAATACGAATTTAATGATAAACATATTTTAAATCAAGTTTACAAAAAATGGTGGCACCCCCTAATTCATCGAGCAACTTATCAATAGCAGGTATAGGACACTTATCTGGTATGGTTACTTAATTGAGTGCTTTGTAATCAACACAAAATCTCCCACTACCATCTTTTTTCTCGACCAACTTCTCAATCTCTGTTTTGTGCCCATATGCACATCTGTAGGATCGGACAATGGGAGGTACAAAACCCTCCTTAATAGTGATAGAATCGTCATGGGCACTGTGGGGTGGTAGACTTTTTTTTAGTTCACACACATCTAGATAATCTTGTAATAAACGCTGCACAACGAGCTTAACTCTCTTAGCTGCCTATTGTTCTTCATTGCTTTTTAAGTCCACTGTTCGAATCACCAACAAATACCTTGTTCTCTATCGCACACGTTAGTGAAGCTAAGAAGGGGAGATCCTGGGCTTCAATTGGACCAGATAACTTTAGATGGTTTAGTATTAGGCCATTTCAATGGAGGCCATCAACTCTTGTAGATTGTGAGGTTTCGTTAAATAAACATCGGCCTTCACCTTGTCCTTTAACCTGTTTAAAAATACGCCGACTCATGATTCCTCAGGTATGCCGAGGAGGGTCACTGATAGGTGTTTGAATTGCTCTCTAAGTTCTGACACATGGTTGGTTTGCTTTAACCCAGCCAACAGCTCATAATTATCAAACTATTGGTTACAATGGAAATGTTGAATCACAGCGATTTTGAAGGTTTTCTAGTCGGATATGGGAGCTTTAATCTCCATCCATTGAAACCAATTTACAGCACACCCCTCTAACCCCACAATTGCAGCGTCAAGCTTAAAGTATTTCTCATGTTTCGGTACTTTGATGACATTGAAGTATGGTTCCATCCGACATGTCCATCCCATTGGATCTTCTCCAACAAACAGAGGCATTTCTAGCTTATAGACAATATTTTTGTCCCTTTTTCTCCAAGTTGTCCTCATTTTTCTGTCCAATACTCTTTTCATCTCCCTCTAAGTTAATAGTCATATCTACCATTTTCCTCCTTCTGTCGCTGGAATCTCAACATTTGGAGGACGGTTTTGGTTCTAAAATAAGATGGCATTTCTTTGCTCCTGTAGTTGAGCAAGAATAATTGTGTTCTGTTCTTGAAGTTGTCTCATCAGACCCCGTGTTTCTATGCATTCATCTCTGGCTTCCACACTTGCTCATTGCACCTCTCCCACTGCCCTTTCCACATTCTCAAGTCTTGCCTCCATTATGGTTCCTACCATGCCCTGGGAAAGCACCCGCTCTGATACCAAGTTTGATAGAACCTACTATATTAACTTCAAATACCAGGATAAAACGATACAGTTCCCCCTTCAATGAAGCAAGAAAGAGAGAAAATGCAGTAAACATGTCTAGAAATCTTAATTATAGTATGAGATAATAGTAGCTAGCAGCAAAACAGTGAGAAAATAGTAGGAAAAAAACTAGCAAAATGGGAAATAACGGGATAAAGCCTTCCCTGACATTAGAGAGGTCAGACACTCTCCTAATCCTTTCACATGATCCTTGACCACCTCCCTCAGGCACGCAGCCCTAAAAAACTAACTCCAATTGTTATTGGGCTACGTATGGGTTATGTTTGGGCCCATTGGTTGTGTCCGGTTGTTCTGATTCATTTTGGACTTTCTTCTACCATATATTGCCCCCTTCATAGTACTAGGCCCATCAAATACCCATGACATATGATAAGAACAGTTACAAGCAGCTAGTGCTACGTGTTGTGTCTTCACTAGCCAACATCCGCCTAATAGACATTGAGAAAAACTTAGGCATAATATTTGGACCAGTTTGATTTTGCCATACTATAATGTCCATATCAGTGTTCCTATTTCTCATATTACAAAACAGAATTATCAAATAATTTTTCAAATTCGGCATGATCTTTAAGATGCTTCCCTTATGGCCTTCTAAGTGTGGTCCCCATGATTATTTTGGACAGACTAATATTATTCTCGGTTAGGTTTTTGAACTCACTTTCCCGCGCTCATAACAAAAAAACCCAGAAGTTTTCCCAATTTACTCTACATAAACATGCTATATGGATAATAGAAAAACCAAATGAAATGGAAATGCCAAGCCACAAGTGACAAATATCACGCTACCAGCACAATGACAAAATAGTTTAACTTGCACAAATCAGTTATATATAACCACAAAAATTAACATAGCAAGAAAAACAGCTAAATATTATTAAAAAAATAAAGGCTTCAAAGCATACCTCTCTCAGCCCTCCTTGAACCACTTCTAACGATAAAAAGGTGCGTGTGTGGTCATCATTTACAAAAATTTCCCACTTACTAAAGTCAATCCAGTAACTGCTCCACAAGAAAAAGAGTTAGAGGCAAAGATGAACATAGGCAAACTGAAAAACACATGGCGTTCTGACTGACACTTGACCAATTTAAGCACAAACTGACCCCTGTTGAGTTTGAAGTTTCTGTCGAAGCATGGATACCATGGAGTCAATCTGATGCACTCGTATCGGGACAGTTCTTCCCAAGCTAATATGAAATTCCCTCCCTAAAACAGCCCGTTCAAGCTTCTCTTCATTTTTATGGAGAATATTAAGTGGTAAATCAACATCAACAGCATGAAGACTTGGCTCCTGAGATGAGACTTTCTTCAAGAAGGCAGCCAATTCTTTCTTTGATTGAAATGGTATGCAGACTGCGAGAAAGCATGGATGAGTTGTAGCACATTATAGGGTGAAGAAATCATATATCTAGTGGCAAGAACAGAACAGAAAAAGTTCACTGCATTGCAACTCTGCTTCCCACAGATATCCTGCACGTACTTGAACAGTTGAACTTTGAAAGTAAGCTTGTTCCAATAGACAGGCATATCCACATCCTACATAAAACTTCAATTTGGGTACTTTCAGAACTTATCATTATGATTTGAACATAAGACATCTAGCCCCATTTTCCACCTGCCACAATGTCCTGAGCTAAAACAAAAGCAACCCAGAGAAATTGCAAATCGCCCTTGTTTGTAAGTTAACACCCATTTATCATCCTCATCAACTTTGAAAAACAAAAGGGAAAAAGAGCAGAAAATACAAGAACCATAACGATACCACAAAAATCCATAAGTTTGTAAGTTGTGCTTATTACTAATTTCTATACCTATTTTGCCATTCCTTTTTCAACAAAAGTTCGTTAACATTACTTCTTCATGAGAATTTCTAGGATTTGATGAAGTATTATTCTCTTCTTTTTTTTTTTGGGACACACGATGAAGTAATATTCTGAACAAATGCATATCTGAAAATCCTTATCAAGCCCCAAAACTCCATTTATTTGTAAGGAAAATATGCGCAGTCCATGTAAGGAAGTCTGAAATATATGGTTCGCCCTGTCAAACGCTTTCTTTATAATCATCCAGTAGGAGGCCTTTGAGATACCTCATGACAAAATATTAAAAATAAACAACTAAAGTATGAACACGGTAGACTTACTTGGTATGTAAATATGCAAGGCATAGTTACCATCAACATGAGGGAAGCTCCTAACTCTACTTCTCTGAACAGTCTGTAGAAGATCTTGAGAATCTTCACCATTAAAACAATAAATACTTGTCATTAGATGGCATATAACATCAGAACAAGCAAACTTGAAATAAATAACAAAGGAGCTTTTGTTTAATTGCAATAGAACTTCAAAAATATGAAATAAGTCATTGAATTCAAAAAATTCTACTTTTAACCATTAATTTAGATTGAGGTGCAGGTTAAAAAAAAAAAAAAAAAGGATTCTGAGATTGCGCACATTTTGTTAATTTTTATTATTCACTTTTATATTTCCCCTTGAATCATCAGTAGCCTCTCTAGGAAAATCATAATTATCTTTCACTCTGTTTACTAAACAATGAATAATATAAGCTAAAAAACAGGAGTACCAAGAGAATTTGGAGGATTGAGGAGCGAGATAGGAGGCAGAGGCAATGGAGTGGATCCTTCAGAGTGGACTAAAGTTGGGCTAGAAGAGGCAAACTTAGAGCCTGAGTCAGAAGATGTATCTCCAGAACATGCTTTCGAGGCCTCCATCTCCAAGTCTGTACTTCAATGCATACCAAGATCAGTAGTCTAAACCTGAATCTTATTTCAAAATAATTGATAGAGAACTGTTAAATAATACAATTTTGAAATAAAATGTCAAACCCTCAAAAATAAAGTGTGGCCAACTCAGATTATGAGAAAACCCACATCCTTTAAGCCTTGCATGCATATAAAATTCCACACATATATTTATAGACATTCTTACAATACAAAATATAGTTTTGATCCATTTCATATAAACAAAAAATCCCAAGCTATTTATAGAAATTTCTACAAAAACTCCCCTGCAAAATGGGACGTTCCAAAAATTCCACAGTAAGTATTCAGCAATAGTTCAACAAAGGGAGCTCCGTTCCAAACTAATAGATATATAACCCGTAACGAAGGCAAGGACCATAACTATAGTTTACGTGGAGCACCTAGAACAGGATTTACAAAATGTAACACAAAATGGGTTATTCAGAGCAATTCTTCAACTCCAATTCAGCATAAATGCCTCTCAATGGTGAGTAAGAATACAGGATCAGCTACACTATTGAGACCAAAATATTTTCTGGTCAATAATGTCCCAACAATAAAACATAAAATATAATAATAAACGTATTAAATCATAACAGGTCAAAGTAATTTGGCATTTAAACAGTAAAGAATCAACTATATAACTATTCATCATTTAAACATTTGGGTGGCTAGGAATACAAGGAAAACAAGGAAAGAAATAATCATGCTATTTATAATAAAAATATACTCAAAAAACTTTGCTTATTTGAAAATCAATAAACGAAGTTGAAAAAGAATTCCATTCTTTATTAGGACCTAGACAGAACAATAACCAGCATGGACACACAGTCAACGAAAGTAAATAACATGTCTGGCATGGCTAGAAGTGCTCATGAAAAACAAGTGTGAGTAATACTCATGAAAGTCCACCCCAGTGTTGGCCGTCACACCATGCAAACACCTCCAAATCACCCTACTAGCTAGGTATATCATGAAGCGCCAAGGGCTAACAGAACTGCCATTAGCAACCATTTATCCTCAATCCCTTATTTTCCAGCATACATGGAAATTAAAAAACCTTGCAAGTTTGATGATTCTGAATCATTTCAAACCCAGCAAGTAACATCTTCCAAAATCTTGATCCATTCCATGCATGAATAATAATTTGTGACATAAAGCTAGGAAAATTTTTAAATGAATGAAATCCTCAACTTCTTAAATATCTTTATATAAGAAGAAAACATTACTACTATTTAACAAGCATCTTATATACACGTAAACACATGAAAACCTTATTTGAAATATAATTTAATAGTTAATCATTTAATTTATAGTGGTCAAATACTTCATCAAGTCATGAGTTCAAAACACAAGAAAAAAAATCAATCATAGAATAAATTTTACTTTCTTTCAAAAAGGACAAACCAGGATAAAGAGAATGCTTCAAACGATACAATTAATGTCATAATTAGAACAATATTAAAATACATGTGAATCCATTGAAAACAGTATTTTGAAATAAAACAATTCTTATAGTTATCAATTGAAATGCTATTTACTCACCTGATGTGTTCCCAAGTTCAATAATCTACTTCTTACAACTTTTATCAAGATTTTCACTCCCCAAACACCCTATATAAATATATATGTAAAGAATATTAATTATCTATAAGCTATATAACTCCCTTCCGACATTAACTCAACTATAAGCAACTACAATAATTTAAAGTTTCAAAATGCCATACTATATGCTTCAAAGTCTCTCCAAGCTCAATCATAGTTTTCACTTCCAATTAAGTCACTACCTTATATAAATACTCTCCTATCTAATCCATTTATCATACTTAAACTTATGTTTCAAACTCTTCTAATGTAAAAAACTAAACCCCCTTTACCTCTAACTCTTAATCCATAATTATTTAAGTTATAAAGAAACAACTTCACTTTCCAATTATAACATCAAGATCATACAAATTTATACACTATGATTTACTCCCTATCACTTTAGCCACGTTCAGCTATTATTGGAGTTATGACTTTCCTTCAAACCCTTTAACAACTCAATGTTACCATCCACTGATTCACTTTAGCTCAAGACAATATCATTGTCGTTTCCTTTAGCGAATTTACAAAAACAAATTCTTCTATATAAGGATACATCCACTTAATTCATATCCACTAATTCATAAGCAATAACTTAATATTCTAATTTAGACTTATATTCTTTAAATCGTTTAAAAATATCTCCAACAACTCAATAAACACAGCCAAACACCTCATAGGCATCTTAGTACCAGCAAAAAACGGGGAAGAAGAAGAAGCAAACCTAATCATTGAAATTTCCCAACAATCCTGTTTCCAACGTCATAATGAAGTTATAAAGCCTTTAAATTTAACTTTAAGGAAGATTTAAATCATAGTGAATCCAACATAGAGACTAAATTCTTCTCCACCATCAAAATACTATAGAAATATGCCTAGATAAGCCCATTACCTCTCAAAACTTTCATCGAGCACCCAGTGCGCATACAATTTGACAAGCTCCAAAGGCATTCTTCTTAAAATCATAGTCCCAGATTTCATACATTACAATTGTAAATCCAATATTAACTAATCACCAAAACTTGATACAACTCAAACCCACCATCAAGTAAAGAAACAGCCACTATTTCCAATCCGCACACATCACAACAAAGGAGAAGCAACATTCTGCACACAATAAAAATGGAGCATCCTGAAAATCAGAGGAAGAACCTATAGATACATACCCCGCACAATGGACGCATAAGAGAAGAAGAGAAGTGAAGATGGTGATCTGCCTACACCCTCACGTAGAAACTCAGGAAATATAGGAAGAAGAGTGACGCTCCCGCGAACACCACAGTGCCGAAAGAAATGAGTAGCAACTCCAAGCATGGAGGAGGAGGGAACCGAGAAGATGAGGCGACGCCGAGCAGAACCAAGGAAGGATAAATGGAGCTGGACAGTTACGGTACCCAAACTTCAACCCCCACTAGCAGCGATCGTAGAGACTGGACAAGCATAGCCACGACGGCAAAGGGAAGAGAATCGAGCACGATGGTATTTTTTCCTTTCTTGTTTTTTTTATCAGAAAGTTCACAAACGGAAAAAGGGGAGAACGGTGGGCTGATGGCAAAAAATGAAAACTCTGATGATTCCAATAAATATTAAGATTAATACAATTGTTTATCCTTAAAATTCAGGTCTATTTTGATTTTAATCCATCAAATTATAAATATATGAGTTTGGTCTCTAAAATTTAGCCTGTTTAAAATATTAGGAGGTGTTTGGAAGCACCTAAAAGTGCTTTTCAGAAATACCTTTCCGTAAATCAAAACAAACTCCTCTATATATTTATCTCGTATACCGTAAAAACACTTTTAAAACTATTGTTTAGTTTCTATCCAAACACCTTTTTAGTCTCTAGAGGTGTAACAATATTAAAATATGCTTACAGGATGACACCCAAATCTTATATGGATAATGGATAATTAAAAAAAAAAAAAAAGAATAGGTCCTCCAAATATGGCTATTTAGCACTTTTTTTTCCTTCTTGTTGTTTAAACAATTGCTTACTACATTGCATTTTGAGAATTCATCATCTTCTATATAATCATCCTCTACATGGTGTTTTGAGGACATATTTTTTCGTGTTATTCATACAAGGTCCAATTATGTGTGATCTTATCACTTTAATACCATTTATTACGCCTTAGCAAATTTTAATACCATTGCACTTTTGGGCGCTGATATTTTAAAACATAATAAATTTCAAGGACTAAAATCATGGATTTGAAAATTGAAGGACTAAAACCAAAATAGACCCAAATTTTAAAAATCAAAAATTATATTAATAAATTAATAATTAATAAATATTAGAATACGTGGATCTCTATAAATTCTCTGAGCTTTTAACCCTTCACATCTTATACTCTATAACTTCTTTATTGAATAGTTTTTAAGAGTTTTTTATTCTATAACACAAAGATTACACATAGTGCACTTATGTGAATTAATATTTCTATTTATTTTGTGTAACTCTTGGTTGGGTTTGGAGGCCCAAGGCTATGTAATGCACATATGGTGCCTCCAAGTGAAAAAGGGCACAATTATCCCTTACCGATGCGCAATTTTAATTTTTCATACATTTGTTATATGCTTCGTTGTTCTATCTTTCCTTTCTCTATCATTTTTCTTGCCAGAATTTTCTTTCTCTATCGTATATTTAATGACTCACGTGATATATATTATAAGAGCGCAAAAAGTCTATGTACATGTTACCTCCATGCATAATATCTACATATATACACTTCGCTGGTCTTTAATGTAAGATCTGTTTAACTAAGTTAATTAGATTAAGAAAATTAGATAAGTTAGTTAATTATAAAAAAATATGACATGTTTTTCCTAAAACACTATAATCTTCTTCTTTAATATCCTCTTCTTCTCTTATTTGATTATGGTTTAGGGATTATCCATAGGAGTCATTTAGAAAAAACTGATAAATATAAAAAATAGTCTAACATTTAAGACTAAATTTAACTCAACAATTAAATTCTATATTAAGGACCAGAGGAGTAATATTATATTTATTTATATTATTGGAATAGTTCTTCTGACATTTATTTATTTATTTTTGACCAAAGAGACATTTGGTTATATTGGCATCTTCTCCCTTCTCCTCTCTCTTTATATCTTTGATTTATGTTATCTCTCTCTCTTATATTCATTTATACATTTATGTTTTCATTTATTCACATCATTTTATATATTTTATTCATCCATGAATGATTGAAGATTAATATTAATCACATTGAGCTCTAAGAATTTACTGTTTGTCCTTACATTATTTTATGCCGATATTTCTTAGTTCATCATTTAGAAGTTCAAGTTTTATTCTTTCATACTTGTGATAATCAATGTGGTACCTAATGATGTTTTAAATTCATGTTATTGGATGGCTAGTAGTGATAATATTCTTTATTTTGTGGTTAAAGAAGTATTTGGGTAGAAACCAAATCATGATATAAAAACGATTTTACAATATATGAAGTAAATATGTGATTGGAATTTTATTTTGATTTGCATGAAAGCACTTTTTAAAAAGTTTTTATGTGAAACCAAACACCCCGTGAATGGCTAGAAGCCACATCATTTTTGTAATAGTTCTTTTATAAAAGAATAGTTTGGTTCCAATAAATAACATGACAAGAAAAATCTACAGTACTTGGATAATCTAATAATGACAAATATCAAAACCTTGAGGGCTAATAGTTAAACATCAAATGGCATAAAAGAACTTTATAGCTTTGAAAGGCTTTATATTAAGGAGAATCTCTCACCACTAGGGTGAGCCTTTTCTCTCCTCTCCGTATGTGAGAGTCTTTCACCATCACTAGGGTGGCTTGCAGTTCTCCTCTCCGGTGACGGTAAGGGACCTTTGGGATTGTGCTTTTCACTGTTACCCACTGTGATAGGGAGAGAGTGCGAAAGAGCGTGATTCCTTAAGAGTGCTAAGAGCATGAAAGAGTGCATTTCCTAAAGTGTATAAAGGGGTTACCTTCTTCGTGTTTAAGAGAGTGTTGTGCAGTCTACTCTGTCTCACAGTGCTTGGAGATGGGAGGTTACGGGAGGTTATGGTGACTAGGATGGAGAGTGGCCAGTTGTTGGGTGCTGGGAAGGCCATTACTTTAGAAAGAAACAAAGGATCGGCAAAAGGTAGAGCTCTTGTGGGTCGGTTAGAGGTGTCGAAGGAACTAAACAGGGGCATTGTGATATCTATGCTAAAAAAGGGATGGAATTTGAAAGGTGAAGTAGTGACTCTGGATATCGAGAAGAATGCTTTTGTATTCTAGTTTGCTGAGAGAGATTACTACCTCAAGGTTCCCTGGGGCTATCCATGGGCAATACAGTTGTATCTGTTGAATATTCAACTTTGGGATGATGATATACTATATAAGGAGGTTGACTTTAGCAGATGTCATTTCTGGGTCTGGTTCCACGGACTACCATTTAGCTATGTGAATACTGAGAATGCTACTCAACTTGGTTCTGCAGTGAGAAAAGTAGTTGCAGTAGAGAGTCCCATGAAGGAAGATAAGATTGTTAGAAATTTCTTGAGAGCCAGAGTTCTTCTAGATATTAATAAGCCCCTTATTACTAGTTTCTGGGTACCAAGGTCGAATAAAGATGATGTGTGGGTAGAGATTAAATATGAGAGATTAAGCACCTTTTGCTATCAATGCTGTCTAATAGGCCACGAAAAAAGAACTTGCCCCTCTTCAGACAAGATTAATGGTGATGAGGAATCTAATTTTGGTAGTTGGATGAAGGCGTTTCGCCTATAAGCTCAGTGAAGAAGACACTGGGGAGTGGGACTGACAAGTTGGTTTAGAAGGATTGGACACCCACGCCACAAGGTAGGATTACTGAACCTGGCAGGCTAGAAACCGTCAGTCAGACAGGGACAAACACTGAGGAAAGAGTGAAATTGATGACCAGGAAAAGAACCCGAAGGGCCCAAATTTGGGCTCTAAGTTTCAAGCCCAAAACACCCTACCCATTAGATTACCCATGAATCGATTCTATAAAGTCAGCTCAAAGAGGAAAGGTTGAGACAACCCATCTGCTATCTCTAAGACAAATCCGAGTCCAATTAAATGTACAAGAGGAAGGATAGGGAAAGTCGTGTCCTGAAGTCAGAGGGGCAGGATATTTCAAAAGCTATAGTACCATATATGCCGGGATCTCCCCTTTCTGAAGTAACTCGGCAATTAGGGGACGTCAAGTTGAAGCGTACACCTCCAACTATTGATTCGCCACAGTGCAAAAAGAAAAGAAAGAAATCAGAAGAAGTGGTGCAAGGTAGCCATGTGGAAATCTCTGCTAAGATAATATTCCCTAAAAAGAAGAATGTCCAAAGAACAAAATAACAATTGAGATGAAGGTTAGCTTTCAATTCTACTGCTGCCTCCTCTATGTCCACTTTTGAGGGTTGCAGTTTCGATATTGGACAGGATGACAATACCTCTTTTACTGTTGAAGGCGCGAGTGGCTAGCCTCAAACAGCCCTTGTGGAGCCATGAGCGCCCTTTCTTGGAATTGTTAGGGTATTGGGGTAGCCCTGACAATTAAGAATCTCAAGGAGGTTTACAAGAGGAATAAACCATAGTTGATTTTCTTAATGGAGACCAAACAAAAGGAAAAGGTTGTCAGAAAACAGAAAAGAAAATGTGGTTTTAAAGAAGACTGGATAGTTAACCCGAAGGGCCGCAGTGGGGGTCTTGCACTTTGGTGGGACTCCAGCATTATTGTTGATATTCTCCATTCCTCCAAGAACATAGTACACACCATGATCTGCTCTAATAATAGGTTGTACCCAAATATGCTACCTTTATGTATAGTGTCACACCTTACTTTAATACCCAATGTTATATCAAGTGGGAGCAATTGGAACTATAACTCAAGTCCTTAAGCTAGAAAAATTTGAGTTTTTAAAACTTTCTCCTCAATTTACTATTCATGAAAATCCTTAATTTCTTCAAACTTTGAAAAATTATAACTAATTCTAAAAAAAATCGAAATGATATGGTTCCAAATCCTACTTGAAGCTTGTAATGAGATCTTTAAGGAAAAAATATAATTAGAGTACGAATCCAGCTCATGTGTGCCCGGTTTTCACGTTAAGATGTACTGTTCATTTGGTCATTTTTCCAATTTTTTTAGGATTTATGTCCAACTTTAGAAGGGCATAATTCTTTGTACAAAACTCTAAATACCACTTGTTTTAAAGCTAAAAATGTGATCTATTGGACTATTAAGTTTCAGGCCTAAACTCCATCATTTGCTCATAATTTCACATGATCAAACTTTGCCCTTAAAAAGTCAACTTTTATCCTTTTTATATCAAAACCTGACCAAGTAAAGCCGTGTCCATTTCCAATATAATCCAGCCACATAATGTAGCATATAATAAGTCATTTAACATAATTTACAATCCAATTTGATCATCCATACACATCCATA